GGGTTAGGGTCCCGACGTACTACTTAAGTACGAACCACACTCACGTTGTAGTGTGCCCGTCCACACTAGAACACGATAACGACTCGCCTCTTCTCTCTCTCTCTCTCTCTCTCTCTCTCTCTCTCTCTCTCAATTTTCATGGTCTTTGCGTGCAAATTTTTCAAGGAATTTAATTTTACATTATCTCAAAGGTGCTGCAACCTGCACTCTTACCTAACTCAATTCAAGCTTTGTGGGAATACAATGCTCAAGTTGTGGCATAGTTATTGGGGTCGCATGTTTTGTTTTCTCTCTCTCACGCTATACTCTCACTTAATCTAATATTAATGGATTTGGGAATTATTTTTTATATTATTCTTTTTTTGGGTTATTCAGTGGGGATGACATGCCCATACTTGTTTTTTAATTAGTTAGTAGTTTTTTAAGCTGAAAATGGGAATAGAAGCCACAATGTACAATTGAGAGGTATGGGGTGTGCTACAAGCACGCCCTACTTTGCTTTAGTGGCTCTCTTTAAATAACCTGCTTGCATTTATACATGCTTTTAGTTCATTCTCGTTTAATTTTCTTGCACTAAATGTTTGAGATAGTGTTTAGAAAATCAGTGGTCTAACTTGGAATTGGCCAAGTGGGGGCAGTTCTGGTTTCAGGGACCCGTGCTTGCCCAATTCTCCCTGTCATTTAGGGTTTTTATTTTTTATTTTCTTCATTAATGTAGGCCGATCTCACTCCGGACTCGTCTAAGTCGGGCCGGTTGAAACAGAAATATGTTTTGTGCTGAAGCTCTAAACCCTAGGGGTGGATATTTGGTAAATAAAGTATGAAAAATAAAACACGAAACAGATACCACAGGAACACAAGAAGGCAAACTGAAATCTACTATACCGATGAAAGTTACATAATAGATTTTCGGACAGAGTCACCTCTCTAAACCTCGACAAAAACCCAATCGAGCAAACATTTTAGACCTGTTCTCCCAAACGTCATCACGGTTGATCTTTCATCCCATATATATAAAGATAGAAATCCATACTAAATACGCAACTTTCTATAGATGTTGCATATCTTAAACAGTAACAGATACATTCAAGAGTCTTACTCTTTTTGGATTTCAATTTCTTTTAAAAAACTTATCAATATCAATCTCAATTCTACATAATATGATATTTCTTCATGTGGGTGATTTTAGATGGCATCAAATCCAACAAATTAAACAGACCCCAAGCGATTCAGGGTTGGATTCCAATTTTTTTAATCACTAGTTTAAGATATTTGCAACCTAAAATAACCACTTTAATTATAAATATCGTGGTAATTAGAGTGATAGTCTAATTCTTTTGTAAAGAGTTAAACTATCACTCTTTACAAAAAGTGATAGTAAAGAGGACAAGAAACTTTTGACCTTTGAAGAAATGAATATGCATTGTCATTGGTAATAATTCCATAGTAGTATACTCCATCCACAATGGGATAAAATTTTCACCAAGTCTATGCCTAAAATGGCTAGTGTTTGATCTCTCTCTAAATATTTGATGGCTTTGTATTACTCTTGCATAATCATTTTATGTTAGTAAGAAGTGGCGAAACAACCCATCGCTTTCTATTATAACTACAATAATCAAGAAAGAGCAAAGAAATTTAACTTTGTTGATGCCCTCAAAGGGGCCAAGCGTGTTTGCCACGCATTTTTCACACCTCACTTATTTCCCTTCCTCATACGCTATAAAATTACCGGCGACTAACACCCGGTTAAAATTTTACGTTTCACTTGATGGACATTTATTTTGGGAATTTTTAATTTTCGTCTTGAGGCGAGTGGTGCTACCCACATATAAAACATAAGATATCGCTATGGATTCGGTTTGTATAGAGCCTGGGCTCTAAACAATCAAATTAGAGTCTACCTCCAAATAGTGTCGAAAAATGTAGTTTCAATACTGGAAATCTTTTTTGATAGCCTTAAAATATATTTTAATCTTTATTTATAAAGTTTAAAGCTTCAAAAATAATGTGGATCGAGAGATCTATAAAAACTTGAAAATTGACGGTCCAAAAGTGCATTACAAAATACACTATTTTCAAAACTTGAAATCCATTTTTTTCTCATGTCCATACATCTTGATGTCAAGTTGATGAATTTGAAGATATTTGAGCATTAAAACAACCTCTTCTTGTGAAATTTTTTATGTAGGCTCGAATTTGATTGTTTAGAGCCTCGCCTCTATATAAACTTTTCCCCATCGGTATTATGTATTTGATATAAATGGATTCATTGAATACATTCAGTCATAATGTCACATATGATATAATTTTATTTTAATTTTAATTTTTTTTTACAATTCATCATGACGTGAGATTTGGATGCACCCACTCAGGTTGCACCGAACAAAAATAAAAATATATTTCTCATAAAATAACATACCCACAATAACCCTACAACTTTTATGGGCTTTTTAGTCTATTTTTCTTCTTAAAAATACTTTTTCCGTATTTTTATTTAAGGGAAAAGTTTATATAGAGCCAAAGTTTTAAACAATCAAATTAGAGACCATATCAAAAAATTCAATAGATGAGGTTGTTTTGATGCCCAAATATTGTCAAATTGATCATCTTGACATCAAGATGCATGGACATGAGAAAAAAAAAAATAGATTCCAAGTTTTGGAAACAGTGTATTTTGTAACACATTTATTGACCGTCAATTTTCATGTTTTCATAGATTTGTCGATCTAAACTATTTTTGAAGCTTTAAACTTTATAAAAAGAGATGAAAATATATTTTAAGGCCATCACAAATATTTTCAGTATTAAAACTACATTTCTCGAATTTCATTTCAAAATGATCTATAAAATAAATTAAAACTCCAATGCCGTGAGGCATCTCATCAAAATCAAATACCAAAAATAACTTATGATATTAGGAAAAAGTATATAAGGGTGATGCGCTACGCAATCAAAATTAGGCACACATAAACAATTCACTAGAAAAGGTTGTTTTGATGCCCAAAACTTCTCAAATCGACCATCTCAACCTCAAGACATATGAAATGAGAAAAAAGTGATTGGAGTCTTAGAAATACTGCATCTTGTAATGCATTATTTATACTGTCAATTTTCAAGATTATCAAGTATTCATGGATTTGCTTGATCTACATTATTTGTGAAGTTTTAAATTTGATAATTATATCTAACAAAGATTCCTAGTACTGATATAACATCTTCCGACACTATTTCAAGGTGTGCCTTACTTTGATTATTTTGAACCTTAGCCTTATACAAACACACCTGTGATGATATTATGATGCAAGGTATGTAGTCATTCATTCAAATCAAACACCTAGAAATTAGAGTGGTGCCTCGTTCAAAATTCGCCTTATGCAAACACACTATAATATTATGATGGTATGCAGTCATTCATTCAAATCAAACAGCTAGAAATTAGTATGATGTCATGTTCAAAAGTTTCATTCATTCAAATCAAACAGCTAGAAATTAGTGTGATGTCATGTTCAAAAGTTTCCGTACATTGCTGGATTATTTTACGACATTATGTGTGTTTTGCTTGAATGATTACGTGCAACTCTAGCATCTTGCACTGTTCGTAAATTTAAGCATTCACTCTCGTTTACTGTTCGTAAATTCAAGCATTCACTCTCTTTTTTTGTCATTTATTATGCAATTGGAGTTTAAACCCGCCATTAAAAGTTAATTACATTTTGTTGGTAATTTTAATGTAAATCAAAGAAACTTGCTACGTTCTCTTTGTTTTCTATTTTCACCCTTCCACACCCACTACTTTTTCTCCTATTTCTTACCCATAATGTCTCTCAACGGTAGGGCTGGCAAAGGGTAGGGTCGGAGTCGACCCAAAAAACTGATATGGTACTTGGGCTAGGACCCGATATCATCGGATGTGGACGTGGAACCGAAAATATAGTGTGGTACCCAAACCCATACATGATCTGAAAATTAAAATATCTATGTATTTAATTATATTTTATATATTGGACCCAAAAAATATTACATGGATTTGGACTCGAATAATATTCAGGTCCAAGATTCCGACCAGGACTTGACCTGTTGGGTCCAATTTTTGGACCCACACCCTGAACCAGCTTGGGTCTACCCCTCAAGTCCCGAATCGGGTCTAGGTGTATTGCCACCCCTACTTAACGGTAGCCAATGGTACCTACCCCTCTCACTAAGGTGGCAATGGACCCGCCTGAGCCCAACCTTGGCTCTTGTCCTTATAGTGCAGTCCCAACTCCGACCTTAGCCTTGTTAGAGCCGGACTAGACTGGGCTTGGCCAGGCCTTTATTTTTTAGGGCTGGGCCAACCTGGTCGGGCCTGGCCACCTCATTCCAGCCCTACCTCTCACACATTATGTGCCACTCTCTCTCTTAAATGTAATTAATGGTAACTACCGATTAATACTCCCTCTCTCTCTCTTAAAGGATTAATCTTTTGACTCTCGCTCTTCTCCGTTGCCCCTCTCCCCCTCTCTCTCTCTCTCTTATTTCACAAAGGTAATTTATTCTATTGTT